AGCCGGCTCTCCTTCCTCTGAGGTCCTTGTTCTTATACAAATAAAAAGGGTTGTGTTTACCTGCTTCAGAGAAAAGTAGGTCCTTGTCATTTCTTAGGTGGCTGTCTTGAGACCGTGAGGTTTTTTCTAACCGATCACCCACCCTCTGGACTTTGTATGGCCATGGACCTTACCAGCAGCTCTGAAGATGTTACATAATCTTGAACCAAAGTTTGAAACCACAAGCTTCAGTGGATTTTATCTATAGCTAATGATTAGAAAGGGAAGGGGGATGGAAATCACCTCTTTGCTTTTCAGGTAGCCCCCAGCTACCTGTGTCCAGCCTGTTAATAATGACTAATATTTTCCAAACAAGCACTATCACTGAGCTACGCCCCCAGTGGATTAATGGACTTCTTAGAGTTAGCTGCTGTGAGAACAGGTTTCCACAAGAGAGAGTGAGCCCACCCAGCCACACAGTGCTCTGGGAGCCTGAGAGAGAGAGATCCCAAGTTCCAGCCCTGCCTGGGCGATTTAGCAAGACCTTGTCTCAAAACAAGGGTAGAGAAGAAGCTCAGTGTGAAGGCCCTGGGCTCCATCCCCAGCGCCTCCAAAACAAAAACAAGGCTGGGTGTGTGTGTGGGGGGCACATCGTCACCTCAACCCTGAGGAGACGGAGGTGGGAGGAGTGCTTGAGCTTGAGGCCAGCCTGAACTACATTGCAAGACCTCATCTCTACACAAAACAAACAAAACATTCAGGGTAAGTAAAACCTAAGCCAACTAGAAGCAGCAGAGAACTTCTCACCTGTTAAAAAATATATCTCAACATATACCTCAAAAACAAGCACGTTTAATGGAAATGTTGAACATTTTCCCTATAAAATAAGAATGTGTGCAGGATAGCTGCTTATCGTCCCTGGAGGTACCAGGAAGCACGGGATAGCCAAGTGGAACTAAACTTTTGGTTTTGTATTGCAAATTAAGTACTGTAGAAAACTCAGTCAAATAGTTTTGTTTTTGTGGCCTCGAACGGCAGTAATCCTCTTGCCTCAGCCTCCCCGAGTGCTGCAGTTACAGGCGTGTGCCACCAGGTCCAGCGGAGATGGAGATTTTTGTTTTATTTATTTTTGTAGTACTGGGGATTGAACTCAGGACCTTGTGCTTGCCAGGCAAGTGCTTACTCTACTGAACCATCTCCCCAGCTCCCAGAGATGGAGATTTTTACCCATCACATTTTTATGTCCAGCCGTCACAATTGCTTTTTCTAAAATCTAAAAATTCAACACAAGTCCACTAAAAATACTAACAGGCTTTTTCCTGGAACTGAATAACCGAGATATTAGGAAGGAAAGTAAAGGAGTAAGAGAAGTCAGAGTGATTTAGATGAATAAGAAGAGTGAGGATAACTGAGCTGCAGGGTTTCAAGGCCCCAGAACACAGATGCGTGCATGGACAGCTGGAGAAGGTAGAGGTCAGAAACAGACCCCACCTGTGACAGTACGTGACCAGGTGACATCACGATCCCGAGGGAAGAAAGGCAGTGACTGGTGGATAATGGAAAAAAAACAACAACTGGATCTCTGATGTAGAAACCAAGAACAATAACAACAACCCAAAACAAGAAATCCAGGTGGGTAAAAGACCAAAATGACAAGACACAGAAAACCACACAGTTGCTGCCTGGCCCTCTGGCCAGGTCGAAGTAGGAGGAAACCCGTTCAGGAAGGACTTCCTCACTCACAAAAAGCACAGATTACAAAGTGGTTCAAATATTTTATATTTTTATTTTTATATTAAAAATAGAACTGTTCTTTAAAAATATACTTTTGAAAAACATTTAAATTCAAAAGTACAGACTTAAATATTTAGGGGGGAAAATGCCTTGGATTTGTTTATAAATGCTGGGGGAAGGAATGGGTAGAGGGCAGTGAGGGGAGGCGCGGGGCAAGCACAGGGTAAGAGTAACTGCCCAGAATGTGGGAAGCCCTGGGTTCACTCCCAGCACCACCAGCGAAGAGTGAGCCCTGGAGAGTGAGCCCCTCCTGTTACTTGTGAAACCTGAGCCCTTTCCTTTTATATGTAGTTCTTTTTTCTTCCTTTCTTTTTTTTCTGGTACCAGAGATTGAATTCAGGACCTTGTGCTTGCCAGGCAGGTGCTCATGCCCCTGAGCTGTCTCCCCAGCTTATATGTAGTTCTATGAAAACCATATACATAGTTTTCATTTTTAAAAAGATAAGAAAAAATAAGTTTTTACCCATAGAATAACAAACATTCAAAAATCTGACAGTTTAAAGTGTAGGTGAGAATACAAAAAACTGGGAGCTCTTGTACACAAATGATGCGAACACAGCTCATTTGGAAATGACTTTGTCACCTTTGTTTTGTTTTGTTGCAGTACCGGGGATTTTTTTTTTT